CACCCTGCAGCCCTTTGGTGGAAATATGTCGACTAAAGAAAGAAAAAGGACTAAATCCAGGCACCAGGTGGCGATTCAGAATATATCGGATCTAATGCTGCAACGGTCAGCGGCTGTTTGAGGTGCAAGGCTCAGGAGAAGATTTCATATCAGACATAAAGTCCATTTATTTCCTCCTGACGATTCATTTGTGAGAACCTACAACAGTTCACCAATCCACTGAGCTGCACTGACTACAGATCAGATGAACTCTCTGAGCTGTGAGACGTTTCTGGGCCTTTTCACTCCGGTCTTATCTATCTTCACTGAGGTTCATGTTTCTCTGCAGCATCAAGTCCTGCAGCTCTGTGGAACCAGAACATGAAGGAGAAGGAGAGAGAACTCAGAGACGTCTTCTGTCAGCAGGGCTCTAATCAGAAAAAATGGTTATTGGAGAAAAACTGGACTCAATACGTCCAGGTTCAGATGTGACCAAGACTGGAACAGATGAAGGTTCTACACACCAGAAATATTTCAACACAAAAACATGCAAAATCACCACAAAGAACATCATCCTCATTCAATAACACAAACTTGAGGTTAAACTTAAGCTGGTATTTACTGACGGAACTCAGCTGTGCTTAGTTCAAGGACTGTCAGAAAGTTGAAACTCTAAAGATTGTTTCTGTTTTTACAGTTTCTGACTGATAACTAATGAAGAACGTCTTTTGAACCTACCAGAGGGTTAGTTTATCATTCAGCACATTGACTTTGCTTCACTTCATGACCTGACTGTCGACGTGACTGCAGCTGTGATGGATCAGAGCGTCCCGAGGAACTCACCCGGTGCATGATGTTGTTGTGGTGCAGGAAGGCCACGCCCTTCAGCAGCATCATCATGTAACCTTTGACCTGTGCCGGGGTCAAAGGTCGCTGCGAGTTCCTGATGACCTCCGAGAGGTCGGACAGCATGAAGTCGAAGACGAGGACGAAGCCGGTGCCGTGAGGAAAGACGTCCTTCAGCTTCACCACCTGAGACACAAACACGTATGAACACATCCAGAAAACTGTGGTTTGATTTGTTAAAAATGTGCTGATTTCTGATCATTCAACAGGTTCGTCACTCGACACTGATCGGTTCATGTTTTAGGACCCCTGAGTCTGGAATAGTCCTGCAACACTCGTCTCTTTGTGCTTTTACTGAGCCTGTAAACGCTCTGATTTCTGTGTATTAAAGTTAATTTGCTAGCTGTTAGCAGCATTAGCCCAAACAAAGCTAAATACAGTGAATAAATATATTGATTCCTTGGTGTTATGGAGCAGGTGGAGGAATCTATTAAACAAATCACGGTGCCAATAATCAGAGCTGCAGGTATGAAACAAGTATTAGCAGCACTGATCAGGGCTGCAGTGGTCGTCCTCCTACAATGACTCCACGGACAGTCAACTACTGTCACTATGGAGCTGTGGACACCAGACAAAGGCAGCTGCTTCAGACTTGGCACAGGGCTGATCAATGGAGACCAGAGTTAGTGTGAAGCTCACACAGTGTGAAGGACACTTCAGAACATCAGCCTCTATGGAC